AAAAAAAAAAAAAAAAAAAAAAAAAAAAAAAAAAAAAAAAAAAAAAAAAAAAAAAAAAAAAAAAAAAAAAAAAACTAAAAAAATTATTATAACTATTTAATAACTAATAACTAAAAAAAACTAATATTTTATTTAAACTTTGATTTTAAAAAATTTAAGAACTAAAAAAAATAAAAAAATTAGCACCCGAAGCAACGCCTGAGTCTGAGACCTAGTAGTGTTAATATAATTTTATTTTTATTTAGAATAACTTAATAATGTTAATACAGTATACAATTTTATTTTTTTTATTTTTTTTTTTAAACTTAGACGATTTTGCCTATTATTTTATTAAGAATAAGTATTTTAAGCTACAAGTAAAATGTATACAATATTATTCATGATCATTTTTATCATAAATACTATATAAATTCGAAATAAAATACTGAATTTAAAAATTATAATCTTTAACGTTCTAAGCAAGAATATATTTTTTTTATTAATATTACAAAAATTTCGCAAAACAAAAAAAATAGATACCGTAAAATTGGTTCAGATTGTATCACAACACGTGATCTGAATATTTTTCTTCGCCATAGTATTGGTCAAGTTCGCACATTTTATGACTTGTGCACGTGATATTAAAAACTTAAACTAATGATTTTTACTAGTTGCTTCGTTCTAAAAATTAAAAAATTTAATATACTAACTTTGTGTTACATACTGGTATTGCCAGAATCGCTCCTAAGACAAGTTGGTGGAACAACTGGATGTCAAACGCGAATATGAAAGTTTTTAAAGTACAATCTGACGAAATTTTAAGCCACTTTCAAATTGAAAGTTTTATTATAAACAATATAACAAATTTGTGTAACAGTGTTTTTTCAATAAAATAAACAACCAATCATAACGAACTTTACCTATAGCAGCTAGGGTACTGTATTTATTACCAGTTACGTATCAAAAATCTGATTGGCTAGATATGGAAAATCAACAAACCGATGAAAATAACGCCCAAAATGGATTATAAATTTGACCCGGCCGGGTTACGAGAACCAATTAATTAACTTTGCATGGCCTAATATAAATTTGGTATAATAGTTTAGAGTAATAGAGGTTCAATGTTAAATCAAGTTCAAATTGCAGTAAATGCACGAGAAGCCTCCAATAAACTTCAGTATGTAACAGCATCTGATAGAAGCTTCGCACTTAATAAAATCAAGACTGTTCTTGAGGAGAAAAAGAGAGACATTTTTAAAGCGAATGAACAAGACAAAGAGGTAGCTTTATCATATAATATTAATGTATATATGTATATTAATTTATTTTTACGTGTAATTTTCTTAAAAGAATGCCGATAAACTAGTAAAGGCCGGTACACTTTCTGCATCCTTATTCAAGCGATTGGACTTAGAAAATGGTGATAAATTTGCCACCATGCTTCAAGGAATTTCAGATATTGATTATTTACCAGATCCAACTGAACAAATCACGTATTCAAGTAAACTTGATGAAGGATTGGAATTATATCGGGTTACTTGTCCAGTTGGAGTCTTACTGGTAATATTTGAAGCAAGACCCGAAGTAGTTGTAAATATAACAGCGTTGGCTATAAAATCAGGTAAAATTCTGTTCTATTTAATTAATTTTATTTTCGCATTTATTTATATAAGAATTAGATGAATTTTAATAATAATAAAAAGGCAATGCGGTGATCTTAAAGGGAGGAAAAGAATCTGTCCTTACGTTGACTGCCCTATCTTCTGCTATTCAGTCCGCTTTAAATGATACTGCAATTCCACCAAATGCCGTTCAACTTGTTGAAACGCGGGAGGATATTGAAGCTTTGCTAGATCTGGATAAATACATTGATTTGGTGATTCCGCGAGGAAGTAATAGTCTGGTGAGATATATACAAGGAAAAACAAGGTAAGCAATTATTGTAGCAGATCATAATGAAATCGGATTAAAATGAAATTTGGGGTCTCTTTGCGTCCACTTTAAAGCCTATAAAACCCACTTATACTCTTTATTAATAACCCTAACCTTAACCCTAAAAAAACTCTCAAAAAAAATGTACTCTAAAAAAAAAAATTTTTAAATTTCATTTTAATCTGCCACAATTATTATTTTGGAAGCTCATCAATTGGTTCATAAAATTAACGGACGGTCGTTGTAATTCTAGAATACCAGTATTAGGACACGCTAATGGATTATGTACTGTATATGTTGACAAAGATTCTGATCTCGATAAAGCAATCCGTGTAGTCCTCGACTCGAAAGTAAGTTTATTCGAAATTATCATTTCGGTTTAATATACTTTGGTTTTTCCCATGAATAACATGAATTAACACAGATTAATTATCCTGCTGCTTGCAACGCTGCTGAAACTCTTCTTATTCATCGCTCGGTCCTCTCTTCGCATCTTTTGCCAATTATTACCGCTTTACAAAATAACAAAGTTTTACTGCATCTAGATCAAGAATCATTATCTCAACTTCCATCATCTTATGATAATTCTGGGATTCAACTGTGTGTTCCTCAAGACTTTGACACTGAGTTTTTGGATCTTGAGATGGCTGTAAAAGTGGTTAATGATGTGGAAGAAGCAATACAACATATAAATTCACATGGTAGTAAACATACGGACGCAATTATAACAGAAAATGAGCAAATTGCCAAAAGGTTTATGCAGGGTGTTGATGCAGCAGGTGTATATTGGAATGCGAGCACTAGATTTGCAGATGGATATCGGTATGGTTTTGGCGCCGAAGTTGGGGTATGTATATATTGACTCTATTGTGAATATATATTTTTATTTGTTATTTTTTTTTTTTTTTAAAAAAAAAATATATATATTTCATTTGTAAATGGTACAGGTAAGTACAAATAAAACTCATGCGCGTGGTCCTGTTGGTCTCGAAGGGCTATTGATTTATAAATATAAGCTTTGTGGAAACGGACACGTAGTGGGTGAATTTGGTGAGGGAAAGAAGAAATATTTGCATGAGAAGATTACGTTTTTTCGGGACTTGAAATATGATAATTGAAAAACAATAATAAATTTTTAAATTCCACCATTACACGTGCTTTGATCAAAATATCTTTAAGCATTTTAAATTTATGATCCATTATCTAATTAGAAAGTGTATTATTTTAACAAAGCTAATGGTTTGTCGATCAGATAAATGGGCAAAAATTTCTCATTGATGCCGAGTATTTCGAGCAATGTTTGCAATATTGTTAATACTGTAGTTAGTGGCACAACCAAAATTCATCACAATTCCGGGTCGGAACCCATCATCATTAATAAATTTTGACCAAATCTATACTTTGACATTGTCCGCCTGTCCGCCATATTTGTGTAAACATAGTTCGTTGTGCCACGTTTGCTTATAGTCAAGTTTGTATTTCATGGCACGAGACAGTATAATCAAGCAGCTCCCTCAATGCGATTTGATAGCAATCGAGATGGTGCACATCATTACGACCAATTTAAATAATCCTTATAACATGGGGGTGTGTCAATAGAAATCAAGCAAATTTTTTCTAAGTAAATTTTTTTAAAACTTTAAACTACAATAACTTGTCAAAAACTTAATCAAATTTAATAAAAAATTTTTTGAATTATTCCAAAAATTTGTAGAATTCATTTAAAAAAAATTTTATAAAATATGATTAAGTTTTTGTTGAGTTATTATTGTTTGAAGTTTCAAAATAAAAACAATTTGCTTGATTTCTGTTGACACACCCCCACATTTTGCTGGTGGAGATTAAATTATAGCCAATCAACGCAACTCTGAAAAAGGAGCTTGACAGCTAAATTTCTTTCCCACTGATTAAAAATTGATCTCCGATCCATTGATTTAGGTGCTTGAGAACACCCTTAATCAATGTTCATCCACAATACATTTACAGATAAAAAGCTTTGGATCTACATCGATATGAATAGATGATGAAAATAACAGGAGATTTTTTCATCGGATTTAATGTCACTCCCATGTGCTATGTAGTGATTGGCTAACTTATATATAAAAAAAGGCTAAGGCCAAAGATTAATTTCCGGCCATGATCAGCTTTGTCGCCCAATTGAGAAAAACTTGCTCAAATGGGTTCGTTAATTGTCTGTCCGATAATGGCAGCACTTGGTAACTTACCACCAAAATTCATGGTAATTAATTACTAGTAGCTACCACTTAACAGTTTTTTTCATAGACAATACCTTTCCCAACAATTATTTCCTTGATAGTCTCATCAACATTTTTTTTATTGAATTGAATGCTACGTAACGTAATAGATAACAGATAAAACAAATAATGATTTTCGAGTAAATGATACGTACTTCGGGTTAAGAAATTGTGTTAGCCATCGCGGAACTATAACGATATGACAAGAACTCTTGACTAAGTAGTTTATAAACATAATTTACTTAATAAGTGTCATTCCCGTGCATCGCACGGGTAAATTTGCTAGCTACCAAAAATTTTACTAACGCTAACGCTAATACACTAATCAATGCGTCATAATGACAATAGATAACGCCATTATATAATATATTAACAGTTAGAATTTAACGATTACAGATACTGTATTTATGTTATCGATATAAATACAAAAATGGTAGAACATTCAACTTCCAACGATTTTTTCTCAGCCCGTTTCTTTGCAATTTTTTTGTTTTTTACGTGTTTCACCTCATTTGCTATACTTCGTCCCGACTATAATTTTCGAATTCCTGATTCCTTTTTTTTTGCAAAATATTTAAAAATGTCTACTCAAGAAAGTCAAAATACACAGACGCCTATTAAAGACTTGGAAGATATTACCCTTACGGACCTTGGAGATAATTCCACCTTTAAGGCTAATACTCTTTGGCAAGATAGTCCTGCCCTTGTTCTGGTTGGTAGGTATCTAGTATTATTAATACGCGACATATTGGGTTTGTTGAATTTGATTTATAGTATATTGCATTATTTTTTAAAGTTCGGCGTCCTGGGTGTCAATTATGTCGCGAGGAAGCTTTAAGAATATCCTCTTATCGAGATCTTATATCTGACAAACTGGTAATAAATTACGCTTGTATTTTTACTTTTCACTTTTACAGAGAATTTTTATCACTTTATTAGGGAGTTAAAATGGTAGCAATAGTGCATGAGAACCTAGATAACGAAGTTGAAGAGTTTAATAAAGGATATTGGAATGGCTTATTATATTTTGATAAAGAGAAATCATTCTTTTCTCAAGTCGGGTAAGTAAATTGTCGTGATTATTATTCTGTAAAATTGACTAATTTTGACAATTTTAGAGGTGGTAACATACAATATGGAGGAATGCTCAGCTTTTTAAAACCTTCTGTATGGTTTAATATAGGACAAAACATGAAAACTGTAAGTTTTATTTTTTGTTAACCATTTTTTTTAAGTCAAAATCAATATAAATTCAGTGACTTTAAAATTTATGCTAGGGTATCACCGGAAATATGAAAGGAGAAGGTCGAATTCTAGGCGGTCTCTATGTTATTCATCAAGGTTCAGGAGGTGTTGAATATCAATATCGAGAAAAGGTCTGGGGAGATCATTCTCCATTCGATCAGGTCTTAACTGCCGTGAAAAAGGTTTCTAAGAAAAATGATCCGGTCACAGAAGCTGTTTATCAAGAAACTTTGGATAAAGTAAAGAAAGGTGAGATCGTGTTTAATAAGGATCTTAGATCCGGTTGTACTGGTGAGATGTGAGATAAATTCGAAATCCAGTTGTACTCGTGGTCAGATATTAAATAGCATTTTTTAGTACAGCATATGTAATTTGTTCTTGTGCAAAAAAAAAAAAAAAAAAAAAAAAAAAATTGTGTAATCACTTAAAATTAAAAAAAATTATACATTACTTTTTTTATTAACATCAAAAGTGGAAAATGCCTTTAAGGATTTTAAAATGCAATAAAGCATTCTTACAGAGTGATAATATAAAATACATTTAAGTGTGCAGGATCCATTACATTAATTTCTAGGTTAATTCTACTTTTCAATGAAATCAAAATTTAATCCACCCATTATATCAAACACATGTCAACTGTTAAAAACCTCTTTCTAAGACCTTGTATAATGACACTATTTTGCTAATACGTATATCTATAAATGTTCAATAATAAATGGCCCAAAATATACTATATGCAAATAATTATCAAATTAATACAAAGAATAGAAATTTGAGGATCTATTTTTTTTTGTCTAATGGTTTCACCAACTCGCTGTCTTTCCAAAATGAAACTTTATTGTTCCATTATAATGGATGCTTTGTGTTGTTATCAACTTTTCATTTATAAGAAAAAAAAACCGTCACATATTCGTTTCCAAAAATGGTACGTACTTTACAACTTATATCCGACTTTTTTATCTCATAACGCTCATGCAGCTCTTCCCACCAGCCCATTCATATTGTAATTCCAATTGTAATGGAACTTTACAATTTTTTAAAAACATCTCAACGGCCGTAACGCTAAAACTCCAACACTTTGGAAATGTCAACCATCTTAAAGACCTTGGAACCAATCTCCCGATTTGCGGTAAATAAGCGTTAGCAATGTCAACACCACTATACCCTACACCATTAACGCTTCCGCGCGAATCCCAATACCCACCATATATTTGTAATTTTTTCAGATTACAAGAATTGCTGTTCAAAGAACACTTTGCATCACAAGAATTATTTAAAGTTGTGAAACATTCAAGAAGATCTTTGCGCTCCAAGAATAATTCAAGAGTTCGAATGTTGGTACAATTATCTATTATAGCATCTAAGAGAGGAAGATCAATATCTTGCTGACAGTTTAGGCAGATATATTGAAGTGACGTTCCTGCACCTTTGATTATTGGTCTCAAATCATCATTTGGTATCCTAGACCCTCGAATGCTTAAGGTTTTAAGATTTGGAAATATGACGTGGTTGTATGTTGTCAATTCTCGAAACTTGAAAATTTCTTGAGAATTTTGCTGTTGTATAATATTACTGTTACCGGAACTATTGTTCCACGTACATGAAGTTATATAAAGTGTTTCTAGATTTTCACAAACACTTAATGATTCTAATGTTACACCACTCTCGAAGTATATTGTATCAAATTCCAAATACGATAATGTTCTTGATTGAGTCTCAAGAGATGAAATGAAATCAATATTTAAATCACTAAAAAATATTGAAATATGCTCTAGTCTGTGTTGAACTTTAATAAGATTTGAAAGCAACTCTCGCTCGGACCTTGGCGTCTGTTTATCCACACGTTCTCTAGGTGAAGATGGTGTTATTCTTCCGTAAAATGGATCGTACTCTAATCCATCGATAAGGATTGCGTATGATGATATCACATCATTAAATAATGATGTAAAATGACGACGCGTGTTGAATCTTTCATTTCGTTCAATCCTACCAATTCCTCCATACTTGAGGCCCCGGCCAATTTGTTTTGGTTCTGTTGATATCTTCTCAATCACCAATTTTTTTATATTGCGACAATTTCGTGATCTTGATGCTGTATCTAAATTTCTTTCTTTATTACCCCATCCGGAATAATTGAATTCGCGTATATGAGGTAAACAGCATAAAAGATAAAATCCGATCAATTCATCATGATCTGTATTAAATATTAATCGATCAAATGTTGGGCAACTTTTATTAAAAAGTAATCCCAATTCTTTGATTACACATGCGATCATTTTTTGATCTGGACTTGAGTTCCTTCCATATGGTCGATTATCACAGCTTGTTTTATAACTGACCCAGCGCCAAACTTGTTCCCACAAATCTCCCGTTGTAAGTTTACGTAAATACGACGCATAGTTGAAACTTGGTGGACGTCGTGTTAATTTTTTCTTTAATAATAATTTACAATCCCGTTTTAAACGGGTCTTTGCTTCGATATCCATACAAGAAACAAAGGTTTCAACAAGCTTTGGTGAGCCACCCCTTTTTGAACAAAGTTCGAAAGGTTTACGCCATAAAATGGAAACCACATTTTTACACCAAAAGCGGTTAACTTGTAGGATAGAGAATAAAGTACATTCGTCGTCTTGTAAGTGCTCAAAAATTTCTTGAAGGCATTCCGTTGGAATTGGTCTGAACATTTTGGTACAGTACCTTTTTTTTTTTTTTTTTTTTTTTTTTTTTTTTTTTTTATAATTTAAAGGAAATGTTTAGAAGTGTTTGAACGCAAGAGCTCACATTTAGAGTTAACCTGTGCAACTTCTATCTCTGAATGTTTTACGTTACACATTAGTACGATAATACAATATACTATCACTATTCACGTGATTTTAATCAAAATTTTGATTTTTTAGCCATGTACGTAATACGTGTAACGACCTTGACAATCTCGTTTTTTTAGTTATAATGCCGTCTTTACTTCTTAGTGGTATCCCTTCTTCTGTAGATTTCACACGCTACTACGTTTTCCAGACGAATGGGTACAGTTTTATTAAAGTTTATTAATCAGAATTATGATGAAAACGCAATATAAAAAAAAAATTGATTTTATTTAGATTACTAAAGCAATATTATAATATAAGATTTATAAAATATCTAGTCCTATATTTAAAGTTAGAAATAGACTTTTACAAATTAATTTAATATCAGATATTGCTTTAGTAAATTATTATATAGAATTAAGTTAATAAAAATCAAACAATTAATAAAATTTTTTAATAAAAACTTAATGTTTTTATTTCTTAAATTACATGTAGCAGGGACGATATTTTACATCATAGCACAGAATTCACAGAATTACTGAATTTGAATATGATTTGCAAAATTCAAGAAAATTGCACAAAATTCGTTATTTTATTTTTTAATTGATGAAAAAATTCTAAAGATCCAATATAGAATTAAACTTAAATTACGAGTAGAAATTAATTCCGAAAAGTTACATTTTAATACACAGAAATCTCACATTATTCACAAAATCGCACGGGATATGTCACATCACATCACAGAATTTGAATTTTAGCACCGCAGAATTTTGAATTTGTTATTACTATCTCTAACTTGTAATGTATATATATATATACATGATAAAAAAAAAAACAAATTTTTATTAAAATAAAAACAATTTTTTTAACTTTAGGGTTAGGGTTAAGCCTAAAATTTTAGCCTAAGATTTTAACAAAGGCTTATATATATGCAAAATTTATTAAAAAAAATTTTAATTAGCTTTTCTAATACTTTGTATTACTATATGTACATATACATTATATATACAAATAAAAAATTATTTAAATTAAGGTTTGGTGATCTTAGTGTAGTGGTTAGATTGCCAGATCGCCATGTAAGAAGTCTGGGTTCAAATCTCACTGTCGACGAATTTGAATAATTACTCAGACCTTTGTACTCAACTTACAGTAAACTCTGTTTGTTTCTGGAGTTGTAACTCTGTAAATTACATTGCACCAATATCATCTAGATATTGGAATTGTGACAAGGTTTTTGGCGAGACATAACATTACACAAATAAATCTTAATAGGATCTATGAGCAGGGGACCTGCATGGTAGAAATCCTGAGTTGATGAAGTAGTATAGTCTTCGATAGTTATATCAGCTAATGCTTGATCCAGAAAGGAAACTATTGTTAAAAGATGCAAATCGAGTTGGGTGTATATAAATCTATTCTACAAGGAGGATTGATAACACCAACTTGGCTTGGCAGCTAACTAGATTAGAAGAATCTGCCTCATGAAATATCTAAAATTATAGAATACAGAAAACTAGTAGAGAGCCACAGTAGGAACTAGGATTATACAAATATCTACAAGGGTCTAAGCTAGGTGAATTCGTAAAATAGGTACAGACTACTCTAGTAGATATGCTTTGAGGTTAACTGGCTCTGCGATATCTACAATGCATTAGATACAATGTATTCTGAGAGGACCTAAGCCGTTCTGAATAAATAGATTTGTAACAAGCTAGTTAGCTTAAGCGGTTATGTGTTGTGATAACGTTAGATTAGATCTGTATAGGTTAATAAACAGAGTGTTTAAATAGGTAACTCACAGATGGGTTACAGATATAGTAGCATAGTGTAAAACTAATCAGATAGTCTAATTGTCTGTATGGCAGACTATTTAAATTAAACAATGACTAAAGTTGTACGTATGGCTTGTTGTATATTCTTCATATAATTACAAACAGTAGAGACTATCAATATATATCCTGTATGCAATTCTAATAAAATTTCTTTGGCAATGTAAGCCACCTTAATAACAAAAAAAAAAAAATTATTTAAATTATTAAAATTTTTTTATAAATTATATATATGCTTGTATTAGTAAATTGATTTATTTATTACTACAAATATTTTACAGCATCCTAATCCAATTATTGATGGATTAAACTAATATTCTACTAACTTCAAAATTACTCAACTACTTCAACATTTGAATATACAAATAGATACATATTCTAGTATAATTTGGCCAAAAACTATTATACATACTGCATACCCTCTCAAACAACTGCTCAACCAATATAGTTCTTATAACATATTTAAAAAACAACTCAAAACTTAAAAGATACTTTATCTTGACCAACTCACTACAATGGATAACAGTGTTCTCTTGAAATGGGAACATTTATTACCACGAATTGGCTGCTTGTCTACAAGCAAAACTCCAACCTGGTTCAAATTTCTTGAAAACATCCTAATAGAAAACTTTCTCGATAGGAAAATTATACAACAACTACTACTTACATCCAACAACTATTTCAGTTATACTACTGGATATTTCAATAAAAATAAACCAAAGCCATGGCTAATTACTATTAAGGATGATAACTTTATAACTATTGACAAAGCTCATTTATTTAACTTACAACTAAATACTATTTCTATTACATATTGGATACATAATATTGATTACTTATACACAAATTATTATCCAATTCTACCAACAACATACAGCCCTTGCTCTGGATACAATCTTAACTCTAATAGAATTAAAAACTAATGCACTTTTAATATTTTAGCTACTTTATCTACAAGATTTTGGAAAAAGAAAATTTCTAACAACCAAACAAAACAGCTTAAATTTAATGCCAACTATCTAGATCTTATTTATGCAACTGCAAATAGACATTCACTTTATATACCCCTTACTCCAAATATTATTATTTACAATAATTCTGTTCTGGAAATATTTAATTCAAACAATTCATCTCTTTATCTAAATAATATTGCAATATCTAACTCTAACCTTACAAATTTAATTTTTTACACAGATGGATCAGTTCGCAACTTGATGACTAACTACTGCTCTATGGATATTAGATGAGTACAAGTTAAAAACAATTCTGTAACAAATTTTTTTGCTGCACAAGTCCAATACTGAACATCATCTTATAAAACAGAATTACTTGCAATACTATCAGCAATTAGCATAGCTCCTCGCTATTGCAAAATTGATATCTATACAGACTCACAATCTGTAATAGACAAATATCAAAAACTTACTCAAACAATAACAAATCCTTCACACCATTACTCTTACAATAACTAGCCTATCTGGCATATTCTACTTAATCTTATCAAATCCTACAAACTTACTATCACACTTCATAAAGTACTAGCTCACAGTGATAATGATCTAAATAACACAGCTAATACACTTGCACAAAATCATCAAACACTACTATTTCTTGAATTCAAACATACTAATTTATATAACTCTAACTTTCACATCATTTGAGAAAACTTCTTCATAGAGCAATCTACATGCAAGTTAATTAAAACAATATGCAATACTCATACTATTGCAATGTGGTCATCCCAAAACTGTAATCAAATATGGGCTCATCTATATGACCAAATTAACTAGAACTCTACTTGGTTATACTTTAACAATAATAACAAACGATCATACAAATTCACTAACCTCAAACTCAGCAAACTTAAAACCTTTTGCATTAAACTTCTCCATAATGAACTACTAACACTATCACATCTTCACAAGTATTATCCAAACTATATACCAGACAACAAATGCTTTAAATGCAACTAAACAGACATAGAACTCTACTAGATAACAAATCATAATACTAATATATTACAAGAAATTATCTCGCAATCAGTAACTGAAATTCTTAACTTCGCAAACCTTGAAATTACTCAAGTACAACTCCAAACACTACAAAATCTAATCACTTACTACTCCTTACTTCAACTATCTACAAATCTATTTAATACTATCAATTTACATACCTCACTTAAAGAACTTCTTCCATATACTCTTATCTAATTGATCTTACCATATACTAATTCACTCCATATAGCCATACAGATAACTATTAAGTTGTTCCTTAAACTTAATTCAAAAATTTATGAACAACTATGGTTACCATACTGCTCTGAAT